CCCCCCCCCCTGCCCAGCTTTGCCCATTTGGCAGGGGCCAGCGTCTCTACCCGTCTATGGAGACAAGTCATTGGCGACAGCTTTACCATGAAAAGCCTTCTAGTACGCGATCCCTGAGTCGGCTGAGCCGGGAGAGCGTCAGGCTGATGTCAGTGAAAGGCAAGAATCAAGGCTAGAATCAGGGGAGAACGGAATGTGGGGGCTTCAGAGCACGCCAAATGGTGCCAAAGATTTAGAGGCGACGAAGGCTTGAATGCAAATATCGAACGACGAGGATTCCGAAGCCACAGCACAGGCCGAGATCGCGTGACAGGCAGTTTCAGTACCTTTGGGGCCTTCGAAGGCTCTAATGATTTCGCGGTCGTGGATTTCATTTGAGCCCAAGCCAGGACGATGTGGGTGCGGGAGTGCGTGTTGCGTCTGGCCGAGTGGAGGGGAGACTCGCAGCGACCCGTGATTTTTCGAAGTAGCGGAATTTCCGCTCGCTGCACGCAGATCATGCGCTTGGTTTCTCGCTGAGGAGACCGACGCGTTGGCAAGCTCAGCAGGCGTACAGCGATGCGGCTCGTGGATTTTCCCACCCGAACAGCAGCAGCTCAGCAGCGGCGCGTCAATGCCGAGTGCACGCGCCTTGGCTCCAGCCGCTGCGACGCCCAACGGACGCGCTCTGGCTCATCAGAGGCGGCTGCGCAGCAGTATTCGCTGCACTCGCGCGCCGTGTCTGATGCGCCTGCAGGGACCCGCTCTCAGATTGGCTTAAAACCCAACCCCTCCAACGCCGTGTCAGTCTGGGACCCTCTTCTTTCTTCTCTCTCCTCCATCCGTCAAGCCTTTCAACGCTACATCCAACCTTCTACCTTCAACCCAACCAACCCTCTTACTTTGTCAACATGCCCCCCAAGCCCGCCGAGAAGAAGCCCTCCTCCACCGCCGGCAAGGCCCCCGCCTCGTCCGCTGGCAAGGCCCCCTCCGAGGCCGCCAAGAAGACCTCCAAGGCTCCCGCCAAGTCTGGCGAGAAGAAGAAGGCCACCAAGGTCCGCAAGGAGACCTACTCGACCTACATCTACCGTGTGCTCAAGCAGGTTCACCCCGACACCGGTATCTCGAACAAGGCCATGGCCATTCTCAACTCGTTCGTCCAGGACATCTTCGAGCGCATCGCCACCGAGGCCTCCAAGCTTGCTTCGTACAACAAGAAGTCGACCATCTCGTCGCGAGAGATCCAGACCGCTGTCCGCCTCATCCTCCCCGGTGAGCTGTCCAAGCACGCCATCTCCGAGGGCACCAAGTCGGTCACCAAGTTCTCGTCCTCCAAGTAAGCGCTAGCTACCTTCACGTTCAGCTTGCCACGACCTCTTTCTCGCCATGTAGTACCCTTCTTCGGCCCGACGCGTTCGGTGCGACGCGTCGTGGAGTCCTCCCCCTTGCCATTGGCCTCGCGCCTTTTGCACAGCCCAAACCCTGCGACGGGTGGATGCGAGCGTGTCTCGGCGTCCGCGCGTCGTCGACCCGCTTTCTTCTTTTCTTGGTCGCCTTTGTATCTTTCTGTACTTTTACCGCCAGCGCTAGCATCTCCTCCCCCTCAGATATATCCAGCAGCAATCTGAGCATATCGGTCTCAAAACTATCCCTTTTTCGCGTGTGCTTGCGTGTGTTCGTGCAAGATTGGTCAACTGACGCGTTTGGATTGGCGGCGTTCTCACCGGGCTGGAAGCGCGATGGACGAGCTTGATGACGTGTCGCGGCTGAAGAGACGCGTGCGCTCGTGGTGCAAGTGTGCGAGTGTGAGATCGGCTTCGACGTGGATGATGTTGGCAGTAGATATCAAGATGGAGTGAGACTGTTCAAAGGATGCGGATACAAGTACAGAGAGTATGATGGATGCGAGGCGACGGAGCAGTGTAAGGTGCGTTTCAGCCACGGAGGAGACCGTCGAGGGCGGCCTGCATGCGCTGCATATCTTGCTGTTCCTGTTCCTCGTTGATCTTTGGATCTTCGACGGCGAGGTCCGGAAGATGGTCGGTGGTGGAGGCTTGACCAAGCTTGCCGTCAGTGAGTTGGTAGAGCACCTTGTCGACCTCTCCTTGCGCCTCCTCTTCCATTTCGTCTTCGTCCTCGCCGAGCACGCCCGAGTCGAGTGCATCCTCCATAAGCTCCTCCATGATCCCCGCCTATCGAAACACAGGAATCGTTAGTGATAGCATGTAGAGAGTTGGTGGTGAGGTTGGACGCACCTTGGTCATTTCGGCGCTCATCTGGCGCATGACTGCCGATACCTCGGGCAACTTGACGAGCTGATTCGAAAGCTTCATGATCTCGGTCGACTTTTGCATGCTACCCGTCACCTTGTACATGGCTGTATCAATGTCGTAGTGTCAGCATACTTTGGCGTGTGGATGGGTGACAGAGGGTTATGGTGCTTACCGAGTTGATGTTGTAGCTGCATGTGGATGCTGTTGAGTCTCGCCTTGGAGACTGCGAGCCGGTTCTTCTGTTTCGAGGCACGCACAACTTCCCGCGCGAGGATCTTTGCATTCTTCACGTCTCCCTTCTTGGCGAGCTTCTTGATCTCTGCTTTTGTCTTAGTGGAGCCTTGGTCGATCTGGCGCATCTCGCGGTCGAGCGCGCGCTGTTCGGACCTCAACTGCGACTGCACCTTCTTCACCCGCTCTGCATCGATGATGGATTCCAGGAAGAATATGGGGGTGGTGAATTGTTGTCAGCCGCGAGTGTTGTTGGTGTGATGCGAGCGTTTCGTGCTACGTACCTTCTTGTGATGGTCCAAAAATGAACTTGGACACGGCCTGCATGGCGAACAGCTGTCTGTCTGATGCCTCAGACTGCGCACCTTAGATGGACTGTGCTGTGTGTGTGCTGATGATGGAGGCTCTCCCGATGCGTGAGGTGCAGCGCTGTCGGTGGGCTGGATGTAGTGGTCGACGGAGGCCGTATCGTGAATGGTCGAGAGGTTGCAGCCGAGGTGGAGTTCAGGGCCCCGCGTAATCGGGTCGGCGGTGCATGCACGGCTCCTGATTCGGAATTCGGGTGTCGGGCACCTGGGCGTGTTGGTCCCTTCTCGCGCGAGATTGTGCCTCTTTCGACGGCTGTTTGATCCTCCTCGAGTCTAGGTGGACTGAGCTGCTTGATAGACGGCGTGCTGTATCGCTGGATGGGTTCTTTGCTCTGTGTATCCGGTGGTGAGCGTTGGATGTGGTTTCGAGTACGACTGAGAAAGCTATTGTTGGCCGATTCCAACTCAACCCGCTGATCTGTCCTGAAAATGGTGGCGCCGAAAAAGAGGGTCTCGAAAAGGCGGCCAAAAAAAGGCACATGATGCACAGGGATCGGACAACGGCCTAACAGGATCGAGATCAGTTTGTCGTCCTCCTCATCACCGATTCGCTTCGTCGACACCGCCAATCAGGATGCCAAAAGCGGCATTCAGGGCTCGGGAGGACGAGGAGCCGACAGGACTCGGCATAGCGGGATGCGGAGCGACTGAGCAACCGGAAAAACGGGGCTACTAATGCAAGCCACGGTGGTGGCGTGGTATTGTCGGCGCCGCACCATGTACGCCCGATGGAAAGCTTGCAACGCCTCGGGGTTGCTACGTCACAGCGACAACTGATGGGCTGGTAGCAGCATTGCTACCCACGGCTCACCGAGGCAGCGCTGTGGCACGCAATTGCACCTTCCGAATGCCTATCGGGCGAGTCGGCGGACCGAAGTTGCGAGCAGAGGGCAACAAGTGCGGCTGGGAGAGCCAGGCGCGACGCGTCCTAGATCCAAGTGAGAATGCAAGCAACACCTTCGAGCGGAGCTGGCGCGAAGGAAAAGTCGGCGCGTCGGGGTGAAAAGCTTCCTCCTTCCTTTTCGGACGTTTTGGATTCGGGTTCAGGCGATTTTCCTTGCAGCCAGCCAGCCTCTGACAGGATCGACGGCGGCTCTCGCGGGCACGTGTGGACTTGGCTGGCAGGTAACAATGGCTTCTCCGAACGCAAAGTGCACGACTCGGAGACCGACCGTACCGCCAGCGGAGCATTGCTCACCAACGCCGGGTCGACACCCGCCTAGCTCCTCGGGACATGATGAGGTCCAGTCGGGATAGCCGAGATCAGCCCAATGGCACACACCAAAGCAGAGAAACGCAGGGCTGGCGTGCAGGAATCTACCCACGGGGACCCTGCCTCGACCCGCACCTCGGCTATAACTTCGTAGCTCGACCGAGAGCGCTGGCGGGGCCGGTCAAATGGAGCGGAATGGCGATGGCGTCCGCTGGCGAATGGGCCGTCCCGGCTCGGAAACGAGTCTAGCAGCGAATCTTCTTCTGCGTCTTTTCATCACCGCCGTCGGTCGGCGAGCCGCCGCACAGCTCCCACAAGAGGCTCGATCCTCAGTGGACGTCGTGACGAAATTGACAAGGGCTCGAGTGTCATTCGAGTCGACCCGATGAAGCAAGTCGGGTGTGGTCGCTGCGCTGCGCATACGGGAATGCCTAGCGTAGGGGCGGAGGTGTCGCTGCACGATGCCAATCACCCCATCTGCGGCCTGCATACTGTTAGCAGCAGCGGCAGCTCCGAAGCATCACGCTAAGGGGAAGCGCAAAATTGGGCCACCACCCGCGTGTCGAGTCGCGTGTCGGGCACTCGAGCTGTGCCCACCGTGAGTGCAGTGTTTCAGGAAATTTGGCATTCCTCGACCTTGCGTGCCTCTCTGCTCGGCTGGCATGGTGCTGCGTTGCCCCTCGCTCTGTCGGTGTGGCATCTTCGCATGTGCATGTTTGGCGTCCCGCCGTGTGAGTGCGGCGGCCCTTGCCTGTCTCGCCTGTCGCGCCTGCCAGCTGCTGCTGCACTCTTACTCGGCTGGCTGAGCGTTCATGCGCCCGCTCCCTTCTGCAGCGCGCCCCCTTGCCATTCCTGGCCCAAGGGCTGTTGCCTCGTCTCGCCCGGCCTCGCCTCGACTTGCCTCGCCTGGGAAGCTGGCAAAGCTGGAAAAGCAAGTCGAGTGCTTCTCCGACGCACGGCTGCAATCGACGGTCGTGCCTGCTTCCTGCTTCCTGTCGGCTGTTGGCTCCTACATACAGCCTACATGCTTGCCCCGAGCATGCTGCTGCTGCAGCGCAGCCGTCGACGTGATTGCATTTTTTGCCCTTCTCCTGCTGCTGAGCCCGACCGCCCCGCATCCCTCTGCCCCTCACGCTCCCTCTGCGACTGCCATGCTCGCTTGCTTGTTTGGGAGGCCCCCCTTGCCGCCGATCCTTGCTCCTTCACCACCACCACCACCACCGACCACACAACGCCAACTGCCACTGCTGGCCTCCGACGCCGCTGCCGCGTGGCTGTCGAGCGCTCTCTCTCTCGTCCAGTCTCATTTGCGTCCAGATCTTCCGCTGCAACCGTCCCACCCCACCTCCGACAACGCCACCGTGCCACCGCGCACCTCGGCAACATCGCATCGCGTTGCTCCCAATCAGGCGTGGCAAGAGCCCCTCCAGCAGCCTCACCTAGCAACCTCCCGCTCCCATCTCAAGGATCGCTGCTATCCTTCTCAACACCATCCATCGACCACACAACTCATCTATACGATGCTTGTCGGCGCATAGTCAACTGCTGATACCCACAACATCCTCGCCGTCTGCCGCAGCCACGACTTCAGTCAGTCGCACCTCACGCACCCCCACTCGCTGCCTCGCGCCTGTCCAAGCCAGTCAGCTGCGCCCGGCTCACCACAGCAATCATGTCGGCCGTCGCACCCAGGCCCACATCGGTCGCCAACTCCTTCTACGAATCCGACGCTCGCCCCAGCTTCGATGCTTCGCGTCCACGCGAGTCTCTAGGCAAGAACTCCGGCCTGATCCGCGCCATCGGCCGAGAGCGAGAGGGTCTCGCCCCTTCCTACCGTCCACCCAGCACATGGACCCAGCGCTCCAGTCACCACGACGTCGTCTGGACCGGCGAGCACGACAGTACCCTCGACCACCCCAACGACGACCAGTTCTCGGACGCCGAAAGCTGGGACGGTGAGACGCAAGCAAGCTCCCACGCCGCCACAATCGGCGAACACGACGCCACAACCAGCGTCTACGGCCACGTACGCCCCACCAGCATCGGCAGCTCCATCTTTGCTGGCCGCGGCGCAAAGTCCGAGCGCAGGCGCAGAGAGGCTCCTCCACCCCTCCCCACCCTGCCACCTTCCGCCCAGCATCAGCACGCCAACCTCGCCTTCGGACCAGACGCCGCCGGCCTGCTCAGCCCATCCGCACAGAGCATGCTCACGCCTCGGAGCGATGCAAGTGGCTTCGAAGGCACCAGCCAGTACAGCCCCAGCGTCAATCAAGACCCCTTCGAAGCTGACGAGCTTTCTCATGGATTCGA